AGAGGGTTCCACCAAAGGCGTTAGCAGCTGCCACCGCTGCAGTGGGCACTAGAGGTGCCGGGGCCAGCGAGACCAAATGGGCTGGTGCTGGGCAGGGAACCAGGCCTACACCTCCAGGTGGATCAACCTAAACCTCTACTCTATACACAGGGTTACTGGCTTGAAACAAAAAGCCTGTTTCTCCCGTGCAAATCCTAGTTCCCCTTTTAGGGTATTCAATTAAGTATTGGCTGAAGCCAGAGTTAACATGCTCTCTGTAATCTATAATACCCAATATTCATTTCTATCATACATTTAGATCTATTCAATATTCACAATACATTCAGATAAACGTATAATCCTAAACATTAAACATTCCAGTTTAGTCTTCTCTACCCATTAACTATCTTTCCATTCATAGGCGTATGGCCTTGGGCCTCTGGCTGGGTGGAACCAGAAGACCCTGGCCCCCTATCAATCATCTGGCTTATCTGGCCTGGTTTTGGCCCAAGGCCTCTCCGGGTGGTGCTTTTCTACCCTTCCTTTTTCCCCTACTGCCTGCACCATTTGCTTACACTGCTTTTGTAGGTTTTTATTTTGCCAGAGAGACATAGGGGATTTCATCCCATTTTCCCTCTCTTTTGCAAAACTAACTGTAAGATGGCACTGGGGCCAGGCAGTATTACAAAAGAAAATATGGTTCTCTTTCTTCATTGGCTCATAAGTAAAGCAGGACCAGTTTTTAAGTACGCAACCTAAGGGGAAACATTCAAGGACACTTGGTTGGTTCCCCATATCTCACTTACATACACAATCTCACTCAGAACCACAACCTAAACCTGACCAAAGTCAACCAGAGGGTGCCTGTTCTCTGCTGTCGGCTAGGGGCAGTGTCAGGGCAAGTAATGAGAATGTCTTAGTAGGGCTTCAGTCCCTCTTAAGGGGGATGTCATAGTCCTACTTTCAATCCTCCAGATAGCTCCTCACCTCAGAACCAGAACCTGGACCGCGGTCAACCAGAAACTAGGGTGCCCATTCTCTGCCGTCAGCTAGGGGGAGTGGCGGAGCAAGTAACAAAGCTGTTTTAGCAGGGCTTCAATCCCCCTTAATGGGGATGTCATAGCCCTACTTTCAATCCTCCAGATACCTCCCCATCTTCAATTCCAAGCACTTAGACTTAAAAAGAGAAATTTTGATGGCACTTACCTAGTGGATGTCCATACCTGAGTTAGTTTCTAATTCTCAAAGTAAAAGCACCTTGGGCCAGTTGCCACCTCGGTTGCAGTTAGGAGACCCACCCGATCCTCCTGAACAACAGGCTCGATGCGTGCTGAGGGTCGGTGGAGGTTCTGCATGCAGTCAAGGGGGTGCTGGGCTCTGGACAGAGGGTCTGTGCGACCCTTGAGCCCCATGTTGGGTGCCAAAATTGTTGCTGAATTGTCCTTGTCTGGCACGCTCAGACTTGCCACTGATCCGGACACCAGTTTTTGAGAAAGTAAATTTACTGCAATCTGCAGAGCAAGGAATCAGGAAGAAATTTCTCAGATTCAACAGTCTGAGTTATGGGGAAGCAGGGCTTATATGTGATTTGAGCAGCAAGATGGTGGCCACCAGGCGTACTGCGGAGGGAAAATTCTAGAAGGAATACATAGGGAAGATGTTGCAGGAATTATCAGGAAACAGGTGATGTGGTTCTTGTCGGACCTCTTGCTTTGGAATGGGGTCTGGGTGGTGATTTTCCTTTTGATTCATTCCACCTGTTGCTGAGTCTTCTGTTGCAGTCAATTAACCATCCCAGGTAGCCCTTCTGTGCATGCGGGGTGGGCCAAATCTGGCCTGGGCTAGTCGAAGGCAGTCTTTTCTGACTAATAGAAATTTACTGCCATTAGTAGGGTCAGGTTACAGTTCCTCCACCATGCTTTGTAATCTCCTGCATTATGGAGATGCCTCAGTACATTATCATATCTTTTATCACTGAAGTTTCTATCCTTTGTGTTGGCATCTTTTAGTCAATTACATCACTGTCTCTTGGTGACAACCACATACTCTTCTACCCTAAAAGCCTGACCATTTTGCCTCCCCTCTTGCTACCCTTGTCTACAATGCTAGACCTCGCTAATGAAAGCCCTACACTGTCCCGACCTATGGCTTTAGTGCCTGACTTTCCACAAGGAACTCTCAGCTCCAACAGAGTCAGTCTATCATTTATAAGTGGCGTAAGACTAGTGGGTATAAGACCTCCCTTAGCCAGAGGTCCCTTCTAGTTCTTCAGTCTGTTGATTTTCTTTCCATTTACCTGTCCTCTCTGCACGTTAATAACGTTAATACCTGTGTTACCAATCTCACATAGGAATTCTGCCTAACACACACAGTTTTCTGATACAGGCAATGATTATACGGAGTCTGAAAATCCGTCAGGATGTAGAAGGAATAAGGACTCAAAGGATATATGAGCATTTTGACACAAAAAAGAATAGGTCTCTAAAAGGCATCTATTATTTTGTTCTATGATTTTGGGGATATCTGTGATAGGATTACAGCCCGTGCCCAATTCCTACTCTCAAGATGGAATATGTCTAAGCCACCACAGGTAATGAAGCAAAACCGAATAATAACTAAGTAGAGACAAAGAAAATACAGCCCGAAACTTTTTACTTAGTTCACTGGTAACGAGTATAGCGGCAGCTCTCTTTATCACCACACATTTATCCTAAGATTCTAGAGAACACTAGTTTTGTCATTTGAGATATTCAAATTTAGGCAGTTCTGAGCTATCTTGGCTGGAAAGTGTCAGAGGAGAAAACAAACCCTCTTCAGCTTGCTCTCTTGTGGCCCCCGGGATTCTTCACAATCCACATTCTTCACACAGTGATTGCGAAGGAATTTCTTTCAAAGGACTGAATAAATTTCTTCAAAAAAGAGATTTACATTTTAAATGATGTTTTCAAAATTTCCATTTAATCACTACAGACCATTTGTTTTTCAGTTTCTAATTATTCTCTGCAAGCCTACTTACTTACTCACCATGATTTCTAAGAAAATACATCCATACACTGGATGATTTTATTTTTGTTAAAGCAACTGGAGATAAATGTTAAGAACAAATTCAAGAGAAAAAATATATACATTCTTCCCCCTGCTGAATGTGGTAAAAGTGTATGAACATGCCCTATTTTGGATCACCTTCTGCCCTACAAGCTTAGATAACTCTACAGGGCTGGAAAGGTTGATGTATTTGCTCACATGGTAGGCTCCCCCCTCCACTGTAACTAAGTTATTCTTCACACAAAAATTTGGGGGATGGTGCTCAAATTAGTCAAATTAGTTTTGGTATAGCGTAACACACTTAATGGGGCCCTGTGGCGCAGTGGTTAAGAGCTCAGCTGCTAACCAAAAGGTCAGCAGTTGGAATCCATCAGCCGCTACTTGGAAACCCTATGGGGCAGTTCTGCTGTGTCGTATAGGGTTGCTGTGAGTCGGAATCGACTCAACGGCAACGGGTTTGGTTTTAACACACTTTACAGCAACCATGGAAAACATGTCCTGCCTTAGTGTAGGTTCAAACAAATCAAAAAAGTTGTCATCCACAGGTAGCTAATTATTAACTTTCTTCCTTATTTTCGTGGCCGTGGGACTGACCCAACGATCTTCCATTTTTTCCGTGGATAATGTTCTTCATTTTTTCAGTTCACTTTTCTCTCCATCCCATTATTTCAAACAGCTATTTTTAAAAATGCCCTTCCTTTAGGGCTATCTTCTTTTATTCTTCCTTCATGGGTATGTCTGCAACATACCTCTGCTGGATTTTCTTCTTGTGTAGGCACTAGTGATTTATTCTCATTCCTAGTCTATCTTGTTTCCAACTACACTGCTGGAGATCTTTATTTCAATTACTGTTCATTTACATGTCGACTACTAGTACTGCCCAGTAGAACACATCTCATGTTCCTACTTTCTATTACTAGATATGGTGCTTCATGAGTTTCTATTTTTTGCCACATCTCAGGTTAAGAATTTCCTATCCTAAGGTTTGTCGCCACCCACTTCTTTCCATCAATTTAATTTTTTTTTTTTTTTTCCTTTATTTTCACCCACCACTTCCTCTCTTTCTGGGTGTTAGGAAGACTAGACATTTTCTTGGTTTGATCCTCGGTTTTGGCTCAAATTACAGTCGACAGAACCATCCATAAGACCAATTTAAACAGTGTGTACCTGGATTCTGGGTTTGCTTTCTAGGCATCTTGTTTTCTACTTCCTCTCTCTTGCTTTCTAGTGTTCCCCAAATCTTAAAATCTGTCAGTTCTTCCTGGATTCTCTAATCTTTACATGAGGTTTCTTATGTCTTGACAACTCTTCCCTTAGAGCAGGAACTCTCTTCCTTGCTTTCTTCCATATACATTTATTGAGCATCCACTCTGTGCCAGACATACTGCCCTCAAAGAGCTTACAGTCTAGTTTAAGATGATTTTACAGAGTGGTAACTTGGGCTGATAAACACTGTTACAGCATAACTGAGTGTGAGCCTTGGGGGTAGTAAAAATGATAATTGCTGCTTGGCTTTTGGCATATAGTAAACATTCAATTATTAGCTCAGTGTTTAGAAATACACATCATATGCTAGTGAATTTTTAAAATGACCATTTGGCTGAGTAGTATTTGCATTGTCTTTAATCAAAACATTTATTAAAATACTATATTGAGGACTGTTCTAGATGAAAAGAGACTAAAGAGGCATCACAACTAAATGCAATGCTTGTATCTAGATTCAAAATAAAATAGCTAAAAGGAAATTATTGGTACAAATTAAGGAATTTTAATTTGGATTGTAGGTACCCTGGGTGGCACAATCAGCTAAGCCTCAACTCCTAACCAAAACATTGGCAGTTTGAACCCACCCAGAGGTGCCTTGGAAGAAAGGCCAAGCGATCTGCTTCCGAAAGGTCACAGCCTTGAAAAGCCTATGGAGCACAGTTCTACTCTGCAGCATTGGGTCATCATAAGTTAGAACTGACCTGATGGCAACTGGTTTGTTTTTTTGGTATGCTAGATAACAGTATTGTATCAATGTTAAATTATTTTAGTGTGATCATTTTATCATGGTTATTGGAGAATGTCCCCATTGTGAAACATCAGGTGTGAAATGTTATGCTGTTATAATTTACTCTCAAAATGGTTCAGGAAAAAGTTAATCTATACAAAGAAGTATGCACATACACACACGTGGTGGGGGAGGTAAATATGGCAAAATGTTAACAACTAGAAAATCTAGGCGATAGGTATATGAGTGTTATTCTTGCATTTTTTTCTGTGTAGCTTTGAAATTTTTAAATAAACAAGGTGGGGAAAAATAAAAAAGGATAAAAAATATAAGATATCACAAGGACTACCCTGGACGGTTTTTGAAGAAAAGAGAAGAATTCACAAATCAGTTCTGAAACCAAACACACATACTTTTTATTTGTGGGATATCATTTTACACCAATTCCATTAATTGAAACCTAAAACCAGTTTGCTGTACTCTAGTTAGGTGGCATAACAGTATTTTAGTTAAGCTGGAAGTCACAGGACTTGCATACTTTTATGAATGTAATGCAAATACTGACGACACGAAGCATTCACAGTTACAGGTTAGTTGCTGTTCATTTAACAGTAACCCCCAATAGAAATTATTTTATGAAAAAAAGCAACCCATGTTTTGGTCTCATTTACAGACACCCAACATTTCAGTTGGTCAATGAAGTCTATACATTTATTATACAACATATGAAAGGATAAAGGATAAGGCTTACAGAGGTATTTCAGCAGTTTTAAGAATTAAAACCAAGGGAACAAACTAATTTTTAAAGCTTTTGGTATAAACTTCAAAAGTACTGTTAAAATGGAGACTGAGAGGCAACAGAAATCTGTTATTGAACCAGAATCTAGACGTCAGTCTAGTTAGATTTATAAAACCTTAATTCATAGCTCATGCTTCAAAAAAGGTGCACATAACGTTACAGAGGGTGCTTGTGGCAAATCAAATAATGAGATTTCTGACCTACTGCAGCAGTAAACATCTAAGAGTTGTATTCTGTTAAGAGAGAGTACTGCAATGTGGAGTTCAAAACACAAGGGAAAGGGAGAAAAAGGGAGGTGACTTAGCTAGGTACTAAAGAAAACCCAGACAAAGGCATCCTAATTTATTTAACATTAGTCAGTAAATAAATGCTCAATGATTGCTCACCGATTTTGTGTAACTCAGAGACATTTTTAAGAAAAATTATCTTGCAATTCTGTCAGATCCCTTTTTTCTCCCTTTAAAAGTAACTACACAAAATCGAGGAAACCAAAGGCAAACACTCTGCAATCCAGTAGTCACAGAGGTTTATTTTTTAAGGGAGTTTAAAGATTATTTATAGTTTTCTAAGGATGCAAAATTATCCCTTTGGAATGTTTACTTTCATCTGATGCATCATGAAATAGTTTTTACTTGAGTTTTTTACTCTATCATCAAAATGCTGATTGTGTATGAAATGTAACATCTGCCCTTGCAACAATCTTTATTTTAGGATTAACTATGCTTAGTGTTTAAAAAAATTCACTTGTTAAATAATTTCATCTCTGATTTATATTTGCCTTAAGCAAAACTGCAGCTGATCAAATTTAAGAACTGTTGCTTTTAAAAGTGTGATTTGTTAACTTTATGGGATACGTTTGAAAAATGAATTAAGTTCTCCACATGTCCAAATTTGCCTCTGGCCAATCACCACTCCAATCCATACGCATCCATGGAGCCCCTTTCAACATAGTGGTCTCAATAGCTGCTGCTTGCCATAAGCATTTTCTATTCTTTTCAGATAGTAATTTGTACAAACTGGTATTAATCTGTAAGGTGGGTCTATAAACAAGGAATGATTAAGTATGCTTAGTCACTACAGAGCATTTGAAACTTCTGGTTTATTTCACAGCAAACCAAACCTTTCTATTTGGTTTGAGAAAGGAAGTAGTTGCATTCTGCCATATCATGATTTTGCTTATGCACACACACTCTATCTACATACAAAATTTCTGTCTTTGGTGGTTCAGTTAGGAAAGAAATACGCTGAAAACCTGAATACTGTTCACAAAGAAACTGTGAAATAATGGTCAAGAGTACATTGTCTATGTGCTTTACTTACTGAATGCCATTTAAAGGTTCACATTTAATCTAAAGGACCTCTTGGGCAGATTTCCAAATAATCCAAACCTCTTCCAATCATTATATGTCCTATCATGGATCTTGCTCACAATTATAGCATTTACAACTACAGCATTCACCTGTTGAAATGTATCATTAGCTTTTTATTTGATTAAATCATTAGATTTTTGTGTTTTCTCAAAACTTCAGGGACTGAATTAGTCATTCAATAGCACCAGAGAGTTGGGGGAAAAACATGTTATCTATAGGTCTCCTAAAGAAGAGTAATGCAAAAAAAAAAAAAAACACATAAAATATAAGCCTAAATATATCGACCTGCTTACTCTTATTTCTTCATTCATATAAATAATGGCTATAACCTTTCTGCACAAATTACTCAGGTAATGACAAGCGGCCCCTCCCAGAAAGGTCCTATCACGTATTAGATTTAACTCAATGCTGGTGGTTTCATGTCCACTGCCTGCAATGGACATTCTGCCAGGAGAAGTCTAGCCCAAGAGAAACAAACAAAGGGAAAAAAAGAAAAACAAAAACCTCTCACTTATGGTATAATTCTTTTTCCAAAAAAAACTAGAAAATTAGGCATCAGGAAAGTTTAACTAAAAATTCAATCCACAACTAAAAGTGCTCTGCGGTTATAAATTGCTAGCAAACCATTAGGTTTTCACGGAGGAGGCAAAATAAATTTTACTTAGAATGCCATAGAAAGCGACAACAGACCAAATACTGACTAGAAGAATGCGAAAGAAAAAAAACAAAACAAAAACCTCTAAAGAAAGCTTAGAATTTAAACCCCATTTAAAAAAAAAAAAAGGTGTAACTTTAATTTGTTCATCTGTACCTGTATCCAAACTACTAGAGTTTTAACATTACAAAACAAAAAACTATACCTTGCACAGTGGAAATGATCTGTAGCATGGTACATGTCTCTATGTTCAAATAATTATAACTTTCATCATTTTAAAATGCTACTTCTGTTAAGAAAACCAAATGACATTTGGCATATGCTGCTGAGAAGTTGTAACTCCTTCCTCCTTCCAAAAATTGGCCTCTTAAACAATAAGGTTAATTCTGGCAATGTTTGCTCATGGTAACAGTTGTTTTGTCTTGCTTTCTGAAATGCTACATTTGAGACCAAATAAAATATAACAGGTTCATTTGAAAAAAGGGACTAGAAATATGCCACAAAATTATTTTTACAATTCATTTTTGCAGAAATAATCTCTAGGTGAAGCTTTTTCTTTTTATACACATATACAAAATTTAAACAGCAATATACACATAATCACAGTGAGGACGTTGGCAAATTCACCAATCTGTAGTGTAAATACAAACTGCAAAGCAGCCTTCTAAGAGAACAATGCCACACAGCAAGCAGAGCTGGCCCATTCAATAGCAAACACCAAAACGTCCCTGCAAACGGGAGACAGTGCAAGAAAAGCAGCATGCACTTTGATACAAACAGCAATTTATGGCTAAATGGTTGACGTAACTGTGGTAACAGTGACTCTCTTGCTGCTATGCATAAAGTCCTATGACATCTGTTTGTCTTTATACCATTCCACGAACTCGTCCAACAAAACTGGCCCTGAAGAGAGAGAGAGAAAACACCGTGGCTGTGAGGCTTTTCCTGGCGAGTAGGATGTGCTAGAACGCACACAGGTGGGGGAGGAGTGAGTGACACCCAGCACCAGTACTTACATGCTCCATCTTCATCGTAGTTGCTGAGGTCAAGATTAATTGTTCTGCTGAACTCTAGTACATTGCACCACTGGTCTTTGTTAATAACTTTATATTTTGATTGCTGATGGAGGAAAAAGTAGTATGAATTACTGACACTTAAAATCAACAAATGGGAGGGTTTCAAGCACTGTATGAATCAACTTAAGTTCATGTAAGGGTAATTCTTCCCATTGGAGGTGTGCCAAGCACCAAGTGAGGAGGATGGTGAGGGAGAGCAAGAGCAGAATTTAAGATGATAATGTGTCATTACAATAATTTTATGGGGACTCAAACTAAAATGGCAAGCATATCAAATAAACACAATTTTATACCCTACACGTGAAATTTTTAGGCTGCAAAAGCCCTTATATATAAAATAGGGATAACACCTACTTCACAGAGGCTGCAAAGATTAAAAGAGATCATTTATGTAATTTATGTAAAACACTTCATTCGGTGGTGCTTGGCACGAAGTAAGTGCTCAATAAAGGGTAGCTCCCATTAATAATCCCTGATGTGATTAGCACTGCTCACTGTCGAGTTGTCAGCTTCAGGTAAAGGCAGCAGTGGGTCATTCGACAGGAACTTACTAAGTGTTGCAAGTGGTCTCAGAACCCGGTGCTCTTGCCATTGAAGAAAATTAGTGTTCTAATAATTCAAAACTTGAATCTGATCATAAAAAAAAACTAGAATTGCCACAAGGTAGTTTTTCTATTCCTCTCAGAGAAGAAATATGCAGTATGTATATTTTAAAACACAATATCCCCGCATAAAGATTTAAAAATACAATTCAGAACCAACAATTTTTAAACTCTCATCACTAAAATCAGGAACATACTATAACAATACAAGTACATGAAAAGCAAAGAGTTGAGCCAATGGTTTTCAGGATGCAAACGCCAAGAAAAGCTGAAATCAAGAAGCCAAAGGATTACTGTCCTCTTTTAAAAGAAAAATGCAAACTAACATAAGTAACCAGAAAGAGAAAGAGAGAGAACAAAGCACAGATTACAAGTTTAATTTTTGCTGAGCAACCAAAAGCAAAAACCAGTGATTGAAACAGTTGATGATGTTCCTGGAATTGTGCAAAGTCAAATTTGCCCAAGGCAAGGCCTTTCCCCTAAAGAACCTTTTACACTCAAATCCTGCTAAACTCTGAGAATAAGAATCTATTCTCAAACAGACCTCACTTATCTCTTGGGGTTGTCAGAGATATTAGAACAGTTCATTTTCATTTTTAGATATGGACTGTCATGTAAATAAATACTTCTTATATTAAGACTGGTTTTTATACCTTTCCTGAGAAGTCCCAGTTAGTTATGTTAAAAGCAAGTTCTGATAACAGTCCTCAAAGAATCAGATTAGTTGAGAGTTTTTCTAGACCATTACCTAAAATAAATGGTAAGAAAGATTATTTCAAGAGTGAAGCTGGAGTCAAGGTAGGGCGCAGGATCTCCCAAAGACCCACCAACCTCATTCATCCTTGCAAGCAAAGGACATTTTTTAAAAAAGGGTTTGGGATGGGGGGCGGGCAACGAGGATGCCACATATGATAACCCAAGTAAATCAAATATATGTCTGAGATACTTCCAGTATTACATTTCATCAAAACCAGCTGCTAATAACCAATGGCTCAAAATTTTTGATCGTCAATGCTTAAAGCAAACAACCAACCAATAATGATGGAATAAAGTACTGGACTGTTTCTAATACAGATCTGAAGAAAAGTTAAGCTGAAGGATATATTGCTATTTTGCCTAATATTTAAATTGATCTAAGGTCTCCAAGTAACTTGGAGATAAGAATCAGTAAGAGTAGATTATAAACTTGTAATATTCTGTAATAATGTCAATAAGAAGGCAGATAGCTATTTTTGTTTGTTTTTAACTTTTACTTAATAAAAATGGAAATTCATCTAAAGACACAAAAGAAACCTATTGTTATAAAGAACAGTAAATTTCAACAAAAGTAAAGCTCTTAAAATGGGAAGGAGAAAGGACAGGAAAGAATGGAAAAGACACAGCTGTGGCTGTTTCTGATGCATCTGTAACATGGAATGATGCAACACAACATTAAACACATACACAGACACTCAGGAAACAGGCAGCGGCTGAGTGACCATTATGTCACCTAATTCCTACAGGCAGAAAAGTATAGCAAGCAAAAATTATGTAATATGGTTAAACAAATGTATTTGGTAGTTCTAAGCAAGCAAACATACATTTCATAAAATAACAATTTGGTACCTCTAAGAATTGGTGAAAAACTGGAAAAAGGGGCCAGATTTTTCCTAATAACAGTCCCAACATGCACTTGGCAGTGTTTATGTCTAGGCTGCGCTGGTCCTTTTCCTGTTTAATAAACAAAAACAAGGATGAGCCGATGCCCCCAAATAATAAATTCCAGTAATCCAAACTTTGTATTTAACTTCAACAACAAATTAGTAAACAGCTCATTTATCATATACCATAAAAATCCTGAATTAAGACTAAGACCTGGGGAGGGGAGGTAGCCAAACATAATGGAAGGCCCCATCATTTTAGATACTATATGAATTCACTGTGCACAAGATTTATGTCAATTGAATAATCACGCTAATGCAAAATCAATCAGTTACGTAGTAGCAGTATCCACAAGTATTAAAAATCTGTAATTCAATCGCTTGTTGGACGTTTATAATTATCAAAATCATAATTGTTGACCCCAAAGCCCATAACTTAACTAAATGGAATTTAAAGATTTCCATTTCCATGCTTAGGAGTCAAGTTTCCTTAATAAGAGTCACTTTTCAACAATTTTATTTCATTAGTAAATATTTTTCTTATACCTAAACATGTTGAAATTAAATCTGGCTCAAAACAAAATGCTGGAGCTCTGGATTCTCTCTCCAAATAAGAGGATGCATTCATCCACCTACTCTGTGGGAAAGTAGTATGTCTATCTGTGCAGTCCCCTTACCTTGGATTTGTTAGATGTGAATCTCCTAGCAGAAGAGTCCTGACTAGTAGCCAAGTGAAAGACAACATTTTACAAGGAAATCAGAAAAGAGAGAGTACATGAACCTGAATATGAGAAGAGTTAAGTTCATTCCCACTATATTTGCAATCAAGGATCCTAATTTCTCATTCCTATCCTTCTGACAGGTTTTCATTCTGGAACCATAAGTGGGCAGTTTCTGTGGAAAGGGCTAGGGTTCCTGGGACTGTAAGTGGTAATCTTACATATTCAAAGCTAGCCTTCATGTGGTATCTTAACTACAGTGAGAATCTGCAGAAGTACCTTTCTACAAAGGGAGAAAACGCCTGACTATCCAGTTTTGGGTGGAACATAAAGTGTTTACCAAGTCAAGGGACGATGCTGTGACGACCACTGTCAGCCACATATGCAGCCACACATACCTCCTGAAAATTAACTTGTCACCTCCAGGGCTCTAACAGAGAAGTGCTCTTTAGAACAAAAAGAATTTCTAATCATGGCATTGAATCTAAAAGTGTAGGGCTTAAACAATACAGCAAATTTAAGGGCCTCCCTCAACAACAGCAAACAAGGTAGATGAAGATATGGAAACTTGCTAAGGAAGATGTGCAACAGGTCTGTTTTTTGGTCCCAGCCATAGAACATAACAACTGTTCACAAATAGACCAGGCTAGATGGCTGTGTGTCACCCTTCTCTGTTACAGGCCACACAACTTAAGTCTGATGATGGTGGGGTAGGGGGTGAGGGTGGGAATCCCAGTTCCACAGTTTTATGGAATCAGGCGCAGTGGTTAAGAGCTTGGCTGCTAACCAAAAGGTTGGCAGTTCGAATCCACCAGCTGCTCCTTGGAAACCCTATGGGGCGGTTCTACTCTGTCCTATAGGGTTGCTTTGAGTCAGAATCGGCTCAACAGCAACGGGTTATGCAAACAGCTGGGGCCTTCTTTCCACAGTGTTCTGTTTGCTTACCCCTTGGCCATGTATAGTATGCTGCTTAGGGCTACAGCACTCACTCCCAGTGGAGAAGAGGACGGTACAAAAGGTGCTCTAGAGATTGTCTGCCTTTCACCAACTCAACCTCATTGGTTTGCTGCATTTCAAGGACTTACACTTTTGCAATGCACTGTACAAGCAAATGGAAAACTTCCTCTTACCCTGTATCATAAGTGTGGCAGACAGCAACAGCACACCACGCTATGAAGCAATCCAAAAGAAAAATGAGTTAACTGTTGAGAAACACATGTGGCCCTACAGAACTGAGCCACACTCCATTTGCTGAACAACAGCTCTGCAGCACTAGGCTGACAACACTGTCGCTATGGAAAAGTTTTCCCTTTGTGGAGTTTGAATCATTCACTGAACCCAAAATACCTAGTCTTGCCTTGATATATATTGTGCCTTGTTTCAACATCATCAATGCCTATGTCCCCATCACAATGGACATACACTAAGGTGACAGAAAAAAAAAGGTACAAAGGACCTGGACAGACTCTTTGCAACAATATAATCATCTGACAAACTGATGATCATGAGGATTTCAATGCATGTGTTTGGCAGCGGTGCCAAAACATGGAGGAAAGGCATCGGACTCACAGGGTTGGAAAGCTGAACAGCACTCACTTACTCCTGCTCTGCAAGGGTGCCAGACAGCAGCTCGTAATCACTAACACCATCTTCTGCCTAGCAAATAAGAGAAAGATATTATAGATGCACTCACAGTCTAAACAGTGGCATCTCACTGACAACCAACATTGCCTGTGGGTGAACTTGAGGCTACGTGCAAATGAGCAAAACCAGAAACACTCAAAATTCCTGGGAGCCACACAGTTGAGAAACACCACAGCAAACATCTACTACACATCGAAGTAGAGACACTCTCAGATGGCTCCCTGACAATAACCCTAATAGCATTCTCTGCAAAGGAGTCCTCAATTTAAAATCAAATGAGTCTCCCAGGATGCTATCAGGTAGCCATCAACATGGGCTTTCTTTTTTTTTTTTCTTTAATAATCACCTTAACAAATTCAAGGAGTACAGCAAAAATACTCAGAAGCTCCTTGAAAGGCATTTAACAGTACAATGTCAACACCAACTACTCCTGTTACCCTCTGCCCATGGAGTGCCAAGGAGCAGGGACAGACCAACAGATTCCTGTGTCCTAAGGTTGGAATCTAAGCAGAAAGTACCTCGAGATAACCTGTCAAGGGGTCAACCAGCATCCCCAGAAGGCTCATCCAAAGTTTAAAGAGAAAGAAATGTCTTCCCTGTCCACCTCCTACCCCAAGATGAGTAGGTATGCATTTCAGAAGCTTTTATTTAAAATAAAATTAATTTTGTTTTATTTTCAAATAACAGAAACTGAATAGGTTCTATACAACAAAGATGTACCCACCCCCCACATTACACAACTAGAATCTACCTTATTGGGCTCCTTAAATATAGACTGAAAACAGCAGTTACAGAACAAGATAAGGCCTCTAATAATACAGCTGCAAAACCAAAAGATCTTATGCCTAATATTCCGCGTAGTTAGGTTTTGCATACAGCCTAAGTGCATTCCCTAAGCTAAAGGCTAGTAATGAGTAATACACAGCAGAGAAGAACAACGAAGTTTTATTACAGTCTGATTTGGAGTGCCAATATAAAAGGATTTTTTGTTGTTGTTGATGTAAGACTGTCACAGTATAGATCTTCTTGTTAAGATGTGAAAAGTAAGCATTTTTCCCTTGTGACACACATGACTTTTGAAAAATAACTGAAACAAAACAATTAGGTAGTTGACCAACATGCAAACATGATTATTACAAAAATGAGTTTCCAAACACCTAGGTATCAGATATGCTATATCAGAGGCCCCCAACTGTTTCAGATGATCTATTTCCAATTTCCATCAAGTGTTAATAATTCAGGAGTTGTATGTGAAGAGGAATCCTGAATTATTAAAGTTATAAAGAAAAATATTTTCAACAGGGGGAAAAAAAATCCCAAAGATTCAAAAGATTAGTTAGGACTCAAGAAACAATATATAAGCAAACACGATTCACAAATATTAACCGTGGCAATCAAGTCACAGGTTGGTGTGTGAAATCAAAAGGACTAAATTGAAGACCTATGACATACATCATTTGAGACCACAGGGATTACAAAAAACAGACAAAAAGAAAATGCAGTCAGTTCTCTTTAACATAGCTACCTAAGCAAAAGAACGTAAGATAAAGAGCTCCAAAGAACTCAAACCTTAAACATCGTGGTTCACTTTAGGAAGCTGAAAATACAGCAAATCAGTTTTTTTAATGTGAGATTTAAAAAACACACACACATTAAAAAAGCAAAGTCAGAAAACCCAAGAGTGCCATCACATTGGGAAAAACCAACCTGAAATAATTATGCTCTTAGAATCTAGCCAGCATTAGTTTACAGATAACAATGTTTGGAAAGCAATTACTTAATTAAGCTAAACTCTTGACCCTTCCTTTAAAACAAAAAGGGAAAAAAAGAAAACCCACACAGCAGTCACAGTATTTCCTTGTCATTTTATATGGCACAATCAGATTCTATCACTGTAAGCACTATTTCTCAGAAAATAAGCCATCATTTAAAACTTGAGTTTTATAATCACCGAAGTAATGTGAGGGAAGAATGATTCAACTACGTATTCTGAGCCAGGAATTGTTCTATGTGCTTTATACTGAGAATCATGGCCCAGCCAAGCTGACACACAACCTTAACCATCTCAATGCTCGAGGCAGAGATTTTTTTTTACTAGTTAAGCTAAACTATTGTTTGGTTTTAAGAAGACTTCAGGGGATATTTTTGGTTTAAGGTTTAAAGATTACATCAGGGCAATAGTTTCAGGAGTTCATACAACCTTCATGGCACCAGGAGCCTGGAGTCCATGAGAATTTGAAATTTTATTCTACACTCTCCACCTTTTGATTAGTACTGTTCTATAGAATCTTTGATTACAATGTTCAGTAATAGTAGCCGGGCACCATCCAGTTCTTCTGGACTTATGGCAAAGGAGGAAGTCGTTCATGGAGGCAATCAGCCACACATTTCATATCCTCCTATTCCTGACTGTCCTTCTTCCTCTGTTGGTCCAGGTGAGTAGAGACCAACTGTCTCGGATGGCTGCTTGCAAGCTTTTAAGACCCAAGGCACTATGCATCAAACTGGGAGGCAGAACAGAGGCACTAAACATGTTATTAGGCCAATTAACTGGGATGTCCCATGAAACCATGACCCTAAACTTCCAAACAAGAAACCAAATCCCATGAGGTTTTTGGTTGTACATAATCAGCCTCAGAAGCTACTCTTTGTTTCTGTCATTGTTGTAAATATACCTATCCGCAACTTTTGCCAATGGAACTTTTTACAGGTGTACAACTTATCGACAGCAATTATAACAATCGACTGTGGAACCCTGCCCTTAATCAACGTGATATCTCCATCACCGTTAAGCCCCCTTATTCCTCCCTCCTGCCCCTGGTAGCCACTAATAAATGCTGTTCTGTATTGTTGTTAACAGGTGACATTGAGTCGGTTCGGACTCATAGCAACCCTATGTACAACAGAATGAAACACTGCCTGGTCCTGTACCATCCTTGTAATCGTTGCTATGTTTGAGCCCACTGATGCAGCCACTGTGTCAATCTATCTTGTCGAAGGTCTTCCTCTTTTTTGCTGACCACCTATATTACCAAGCATGATGTCCTTTCCCAGGGACTGGTCCCGCCTAATAACATGTCTAAGTACGTGAGACAAAGTCTCACCATCCTCGCCTTCCAAGCAGCACTCTTGGCTGTACTTTTTCCAAGACAGACTTGTTTCTTCTTCTGGCAGTCCATGGTATATTCGATATTCTCTATACATTTGTCTTTTTTTAATAAGTGAGGTTATACAATATTTGTCCTCTTATGACTGATTTATTTCCCTCATCATAATGTCTTCCAGTTCCATCCACATTGTGGCATATATCAAGACTTCATTTCTCCTACTGGCTGAGTAGTATTCCATTGTATATATGTACCACATTTTGTTTATCCACTCATCTGCTGATGGGCATTTAGTTTCTTTCCACCTTTTGGGCATTGTGAATAATGCTGCAATGAACACTGGTGAACAAGTCTCTATTTAATAGAGTCTGTGCTTTCAAGTCTTTTGGATGTAGACTTAGGAGTGGAATTGCTGGGTCATATGGTAGTTCTATTTTTAGTTTTTCTGAGGAACCACTACACTATTTTCCACAGCGGCTATACCATTTAGCATTCCTAGTAGCAATGGGTAAAGCTTTCAACTTCCCCACATCCTTGCCAACATAATGTTTTCTGTTTCTTTTTAAAATCTATTTTAGCCATCCTAGTAGGAGTGAAATGGTATCTCATGGTGGTTTTGATTTGCAGCTCTCCAATGGCTGATGATGCTGAGTATCTTTTCATATGTTTGGTGGCCATTTGAATGTCCTCTTTGATGAAGATGTCAATTCAAGTCCTTTGCCCATTTTATGATTGGGTTATTTGTCTTTTTGTTGTTAAGCTGTCAAAGTTTTATATGTATTTTGGCTATTAGGTTCTTGTTGGATATACAGTTTCTGAAGATATTCTTCCAGTCGGTAGCTTGTCTTTTCACTTTTTTGGTGAAGTCTTTTGAAGAACGAAAGTTTTTAATTTTTATGAGGTCCCATTTATTTGTCTTTTGTGGTCTGTGCTTGTTATTATATTAGATAATCCATTGTTAAAGGCTAGGCCTGACAGCATTGACCCTACTTTTTCTTCTAAGAATTTTATTGTTTTAGTTCACACATTCAGGTCCTTAATCTATTTCGAATTTGTTTTTGTGCATGGTGTAAGGTATGGATTCTGTTTCATTTTTCTACATCTGGAAATCCAATTTTACCAGCACCATTTATTGAAGACTCTTCTTTCAATGGACTTAGCACCCTTGTCAAAAATCAACTGACTCATTACAACTTCTTAAAGGTTTATTTTTCAAGTAAGAATGCAAGGACTTTCTTCTACCCTCAGAGAAATCTTCCATTCTGACCATCAAGGTTTCCCTTGCTCTCTTTCTAGCAGCTTCTCCCTAACTTCACTTCTCTCCCAATTCCATCTGGAATAACCTCAGTCCCTCTAGGACAGCTCCTCTCAATTCCCTTCTGCTCTCTCAGCCCACAAACTTCTCACTCTGAATCTGTC